ATGGGGGTTATATTTATGGTCTCTTTTGATTCAGCAGAATTACTAACAGCATGAGATTGTCTTCATACAAAATATGATCTACTTAATTTGTGCCCTGAGAAATCTCATTTTATTAGCCGTTTTATTTGCAAGAGGCAATGCTTTGTTATGGGTACACCATAGTCTTCATTCATTCATCCATCAGGTTCATTTTTCCTATATCCCTCATTTGGAATTTGTTTTGCATTATAGGATCATTGCCCCTTAATCTTAGATGGAAGTTTTTTTTCTGAGGATCCAAGTCCTTTGTCTCTTTGACTTATGTTGAGAAATTGTTTAGTGTGAGTGTGACTGTTGCATGTTATTTTTCTTTTTATATATCGGGGTGCCAATAAAGGGCCAAAAAATGCCTAATACACATTGGCTATTCCCATTTTTTGGTGTTCCATGGATACTTTCTCATTATTCCACGTGTAAAACATTCTCAACTTACTTGACTTAACTAATTGTATAACGTGCGTAGTTTCCATCATATGGGATGTGTTATATACTGAAGTCAGATATGCACTTGAATGTTGATAATCTTGTCGAAGATGTTTATGAGTCACTTGTGGCCATCATGACTGGTGACCAGATTGTTTGCCGTTAAGATCACTTTACACCAGGAGGTATGGTTTCCAAATAGACTTCCAGCTGTTGTAATATAAACTTTGGGGCTCCGGCTAGATGATCCCGTCTTTGCTTATTTTTGCTCCCCTATTTATGCCTGCTAGTGAATTGCCAGATGTATATCCTAACCCAGTGTTTTGTATGTGTTTGCAGACTTTCCACTGCAGGCATGGAAAGGCATATCTCTTCGAGAAGGTGTAAGTGTTCTGGGACCTTATACACATGTAGTTTACTTTACTATTTTTATATTAATGATCAGTATGAGTACATTGAAACCCATGGATGCATGAGCGTCCTTAATTTGGTGTGGAAATATGTGTGTGTGTGTGTGTTAATATATATCCTTGGAGTCCATCGTGATTATGCGTTGAATGAATGCACCATATGCCACCCATGACTGCTTCCCAATATAGTGGTAGATTGCATTACTCAATAATCAATACCCTGCTGCGCTTCTCACTTGTCTTATTCTCAATAGGATGCATTATTTTATGTCGTATGGCACATCATTTTCCCATATGAATGCCACGATTGACATCAGGCTCCTTGATACATGACAGTGTGAATGTTACCTTTGGAGAAAAGGAAGAAAGGATGATGATTACTGGAATGCATACTGTTGCTGACATCTTCTGTGTTGGGTGTGGCTCAATTGTGGGGTGGAAATATGTAAGATCTCATTTGACAAATTAGATACCGTTATCTGTTCTCATGTTGCGTGTGTTAATTGATTGAAAAAAAAAACATTTTAAAATCTCTGAAGAAGAGATCTTGACATCCTATTGGTTGAAGAATTATGTCAAAAGAATAATGCATAGTTTGGTCAACGCCAAAAATATCCCAATACAAGCCGCCCACAACTGTTAGATTAAAAAACTCTAGTTCAGATAAAAGTCAGTATAAATAACATTATATCTTTGGCTACATCCAGGAGGCTGCTCAGGAGAGGATCCAGAAGTACAAGGAAGGGAAATTTATTCTTGAGAGGTATTGAAATGCTGTGTGTGGTGTTGGCGTTACAATTTTCATACACAATGTTACATATTTGTACATTTTTTTTCTGGTTGAGCAGGTTTAAGGTCTTGGGTCCTGATGGAAGCAACTACACCGTCAGCCAGGAAGCTCGGGTTGGTGGCAGTGACGCCGATGATGCTTGATTAGCCTCCCATTTTTTCTTTCTTCTTTTTGGGCTGACCATTAGGTTCAAAATTGATAGTTTGTTATTAACTGTATATACTTCTTCTCCTTCCCGTTCCCACTCTTGTCCAATCCTGCTAATTGACATCTTACTTTGGTATTTGATGCCGGCAAAAGAGACAATAGTATTTTGATAGAATATAGGCTCGATTACCAAACCCTTAGGAAGATTGCAAATTAANCTGCTAATTGACATCTTACTTTGGTATTTGATGCCGGCAAAAGAGACAAGAGTATTTTGATAGAATATAGGCTCGATTACCAAACCCTTAGGAAGATTGCAAATTAATAACCTTATAAATCACTTTCGTTGGTCCCTCGAGGGACGACTTTCATTGCAATTTCTAGTATCAACCCGATTTTGTTGACTCAAGGAAGTTTTTTTTTTTTGGTTGAGAAAAGAACAGGAAAGTTGAGTCAAACTATGAAATTTTGACATATACAACTTGGTTCATCAATAATTAGATTTTAATTTGCATTCGATATGAATTCAAATTCCATCAATTATATATGTATTAATATTTTTTTATTGATTATTTGAATTCAAATAATCTGATTTAATTTTTTTTTATCTATAAATAAGGTTATAATTAAATTTCATTTTGCTAAAAGTTTGATTGAAAAAGATTTTCAGATCGAATTATAAAAAACATTTAATTGTTTTGGCTATGAGTTATAAAAATAAAACAAGGTTCNCTTTTATTGATTATTTGAATTCAAATAATCTGATTTAATTTTTTTTATCTATAAATAAGGTTATAATTAAATTTCATTTTGCTAAAAGTTTGATTGAAAAAGATTTTCAGATCAAATTATAAAAAACATTTAATTGTTTTGGCTATGAGTTATAAAAATAAAACAAGGTTCGATATTCGGATGAAAATTTTTAAATCGATTGTGAATTTCAAATTTGATTTAATTTTAATCTATTAACATACCTATATATAAGTACTTTATTTTAGAACATGTCGTATTTAGATTAACATGTAAAATGTCAATACGGATAAAAATAAATGTTTAATTTTATTTTGTACCCTAAACAAACTTGTATCTTTAATTCTCAAATTNTTCTATTAACATACTTATATATAAGTACTTTATTTTAGAACATGTCATATTTAGATTAACATGTAAAATGTCGATACGGATAAAAATAAATGTTTAATTTTATTTTGTACCCTAAACAAACTTGTATCTTTAATTCTCAAATTATACCTGTAAAATCATTAAAAAAAAGAACCCATCATTATGTCATTTAATTTTCCATCTAAAAACATGACTTATCTTCACGGAATATAGCAGAAAAATATGTAATAACTCTTCATTTCGACTATCAAAATATTATACACTTTTGGTATTCATACACTCCTGCAAATTTGTTGTTACGGGGCTTTGTCCTAGAAAATACCTCTTTTCAATTAAGGATAAGTATACTACATAAATAACTCGGTCACTCTCTCCCCCCGAGTCAACGTGAGATATGACGCATAAAATTATAATCACTAATGTTATTGAAAAATTGACATAATTCGAGGATATAATGAATTGTTATCAATAAAATAATAATAAAATATATTTAATATTGAGTCCCATTATAACATTAAATAAATTTTTCATTATTTNAAATTGTCACCAATAAAATAATGATAAAATATATTTAATATTGAGTCCCATTATAACATTAAATAAATTTTTCATTATTTCATTAATGACAACACATTATATTATTAAATTATGTCCCAATAAAAATATTTTCTCACCTTCTAAAGTTATTAGAAAGGGACTACACTCCACCTTCTTTAGAGGCCACGCATCCTCGTCAGGCGCGCATAAATATGTAGTAATCTAGCGGAGCCCCAAACTTTATATTAGTGGGAGACCCANGAATTGTTATCAATAAAATAATAATAAAATATATTTAATATTGAGTCCCATTATAACATTAAATAAATTTTTCATTATTTCATTAATGACAACGCATTATATTATTAAATTATGTCCCAATAAAAATATTTTCTCACCTTCTAAAGTTATTGGCAAGTTACTACACTCCAAGTTCTTTAGAGGCCACGCATCCTCGTCAGGCACGCATAAATATGTAGTAATCTAGCGGAGCCCCAAACTTTATATTAGTGGGAGACCCAAAAAATAAGCAAAGATGGTGGGGGTAGGTAAAGGTTTAGTATGACTACGACTTCTTCGATGCGTTCCCATGAAAGTGGTCGAAAAAGGTTTCAGCTGTCTTAACACACAGTCTCACATGAGAAAGGAGAAGAAAGCAAGAACAAGTCACCGTCTGTCTCTCNCTCTTATCTAGGAAATTCGTTAAAAGGCAAAGCATCGTGATACATATACAAGCTATATTATGACTATTACAAGTTGGTATTTCTGTATAAGTATCGATTGAAACATTTTTGCAGACATGGAGGCTGAGAGAAGAGGAAAGGCTTCTTNAGTATGACTACGACTTCTTCGATGCGTTCCCATGAAAGTGGTCGAAAAAGGTTTCAGCTGTCTTAACACAGTCTCACATGAGAAAGGAGAAGAAAGCAAGAACAAGTCACCGTCTGTCTCTCTCTCTCTCTCTCTCTCACACACACACATTATCAAATTGCGCGAAACAGAAGAAATCACCTTCCCCCAATATCAGTGCTGGTGAATTCTTCACCATATATATTCACCACACGTATCTACCTACATATATAAGGAGACATCTGTTTAATGGGTCTTGCCCAAATTTATTCTCACAATTTGTCTACTATCCCTTTCCTTAAAGCACCACAAACCAATACTAGGTTTTGGCATTCACACCGACTACGAAGATTTACGGTATTCGATGCCATCTTAGTGTTTCCAAAGCACTCAAAACCGAGGTTGGGGTTTCAAATTGCATTGTAATCTCTGTTTTTTAGCTCAATTAGTTATACCCATATTTATTATGCAATGGTGATTTGTATGATTGAATGGTTCAGAGCAGGTAGTGGATTGGATGCACTGAAGAAGAAATGGAAAGTTCTGGTTTTTATGGTGGGTCTCTCAAATGTGTGTGAGGGAAGTGATGGGGTTTAGTTGTTTTGGAGCGTTTCATTCGTGTAAAGAGAAGAGTGAAACACAAACAGAAGGTGAGGATATTCATGTGAATTTCTTTAAATACATATATGCTAAAGTAATGTTTTCTTGGACATCACTGAGATTTCTTTACTAGTTTGAATTAGATATATTTTTTGTTGAATTTACATAAAGTGAATGTTTGCTTGTATGCCTAGTATTCGGCATGACAACTAAACAGTAATTTTAACCAATAACTTGTATTCACAAGGTAGTCTGAAATGTCTTTAAATATCAGCCTAAAACCATACTTCATGTTGGACCTTTCAAGCTCCATTGAACCGCTCTGGGTTCAAATTTAGGTTTGAACTCGGAGTCTTGGCTTGTCTCACGCCCAAAAGGTGTGTTTGAATCTTTGAAATGCTTAGAATTTAAATTTCTAAGAAACTGGCTGTGTTTGGGACAAGCTTAGCTGAATTTGCAGGTTCCCTATACGTGTGCCACTGCTTACAAGTGTTCCTTTATTTTAGTTCCAAAATGTTCAGCTCCATGAAATATCTACTCCAACCCAAATCAACCACCGTAAAGTTGTCTCTTTTCCCATTTGTGGGCCATAATTCTTGTATGAGGTGCATATGGCATGGTGTTTTCTCTTGTTTGTATTGTTAGCAGGGTGGTTTTTGTTTATCATCATGTTACTTTTATTTATAATTACTCCTCTGAATTCACCTCACCAAGTCTTTACATGCTTGTGGGCTTGTGTTTGTGTATTGTTAGAGATTGCTACCAACAATGTAAGGCTTTTTTCCTACAATTCATTGAGATCGGCGACAGGGAACTTTCATCCGTCAAACAGAATAGGTAGAGGTGGTTATGGAGTTGTGTATAGGGTAAGTTTAAAAATGTAATGATTAAATTTGTATTTACTGCAGCATCTCTTGGGGATAGAAGTAAAAATAGAATGTCTGATATATCAGATATGTGTGCTGGCAAGCTTGTGTTCCTATAACTGTTTGGTTCATATGTGGTACTTAGCCAGCTTTCCCATATGCAATTGCAGGGAATTTTACGGGATACTACTCGGGTGGCCCTCAAGTCTCTTTCCGCGGAGTCAAAACAAGGAACCAATGAGTTCTTGACAGAGATCAACATGATATCAAATATTCGACATCCAAACCTTGTTCAGCTGATTGGTTGTTGTGTCGAGGGCAGTAATCGGATATTGTTATATGAATTTATGGAGAACAACAGCCTTGCTGGTGCTTTACTTGGTAATTATGGAAAGTTGAATGGCTGGAATGAATACAACACTCGTAGTATACAGCCTATTTAATCAATTACTAGATGACTTGCTTCTTTCTATTTTCCCCTACTCATCTCCTGAATTTGGCTACTTAACTTGAAATTGAAACTGCAATGACATTTTGGTTAGGCCAACCTTCTGCCAAATAATGGCAGTTGTGGAGGTGAATCAATGAACTTCTCCTCCTTCTGTCCCTGGAACTATTGATTTTGAGATATTTGTGTTTATAACATTAGATTAAAATGCCAGGATTTCCCAAACCATGAAGTTTTTTTCACTTGAGACATATATATATATCTCTTATGGAGCTGTAAGCTTTGAAGTTTCAGGTCAGCTAATCTGAAAGGTTTTCCATTTCAGGTTCTAAAGGTAAACATGTTCCTCTGGATTGGCCTAAGAGGGCTGCCATTTGTAGGGGTACAGCTTCCGGTCTTGCATTTCTTCATGAGGAAGTTGAACCCCCTATTGTCCACCGAGATATAAAAGCCAGTAATATACTTCTTGATGAAAATTTCAATCCTAAAATAGGAGATTTTGGGCTGGCAAAACTCTTTCCAGACAATGTCACTCATGTTAGTACTCGAGTAGCAGGAACAGTGTAAGCATAACTTCATAGCATTTATAGGTTGATTTGGTGCTACTAACTGAATTATTATCCTGCTCAGAGTAATATGACTTAAGTAGGGCTTTCCATGGCACTGAATATGTGGGTTCTTGTAAGTTAGCTGTATTTATTTGGAATTTTTTTTCGTCTGGCAACTTGGAATATGTTTTGATACAAATTTTTTGGTAGCCCCATCATATGGCCAAGAATATCTTCAATTCACTTTTATATACCACATTTAGATAGACATAAGATGTAAAGTAAGTAGATGTTAATATGCATGCCCCTACCCACTCCTGGTGAAAAGGTGAAAAATCGAATAAAGTGACATTTAGCAGATACATAGTTTTATTTAGTTTATTTTGTTGTTTTTAACAATAATTTGCCATCCATCTACTGGTTAATTTTTAAGTTTTCTTATTTGAGAAAAGTAGCACTCGCTTCCTTCAATCTTTCTTCCTTTGTATGGCTTGCTTTTTGTGATGAATGAGATGTGATTATGTGAGTAGGGAAAATTTGAACCAAGCTTATTTCACCAAAAAACTTGTTTGGCATCCATTCCTGATATCTAACTAAATGTATATTTGTTTATTCATTACATACTCATGATACAAGCAGTTGAAGATAGTATCTGCTTTATACGTCAATATTATGCTAGGCTGAGCTATCTTGCCTTATTCTTTGTTGCTTATTTTCTGGGTCTTGTTTTTTTATTTTACATGTTTCTGCAGGGGATACCTAGCTCCTGAGTATGCTTCGTTAGGACAACTTACAAAGAAGGCAGATGTTTATAGCTTTGGGGTGCTGTTACTGGAAATTATAAGTGGCAGAAGTTGTAGTAAAGCTGCATTTGGAGAGCATCTGTTGGTTCTGGTGGAATGGGTAGGTTTTGCTAAAGCACATTAATGTGTATTTCCTTTCATTTGTTTTCTGCCATAATCATACGGTGTACACCATCCATACGCAGTTTGATCTGTGATCGTCACAATGCTCTAGCTGCTGCTGATCTCTGAGATGCCTTAGGTTGAATGTTCACAACACTTATTTTACTTATTGTCCTGCTCTTGCGACTAGTTTGTCATCAAGTTGCCAATTTGTGGGGTTAATGGGGATTCACCAACAGATCTCTCTTGTTCATAAGGAAACAAAAGTAAGCTAGTAGGGAATCTAGAATTTGTCCTTTTTTTTTTCTGATAAGAGTGTAGGTGTTGAACTAATTATCGGAAGGGGGATCACACACTTTTCCCCATAAAGAAACATTCAGTCATACAAACAACCATGCTATAGATAGGTATATTGCAACTGTCCGCTGTTCATTCTCTTATCTAGGAAATTCGTTAAAAGGCAAAGCATCGTGATACATATACAAGCTATATTATGACTATTACAAGTTGGTATTTCTGTATATGTATCGATTGAAACATTTTTGCAGACATGGAGGCTGAGAGAAGAGGAAAGGCTTCTTGATATTGTGGATCCAGATCTGACTGAATATCCAGAGGATGAGGTAATGCGCTTCATTAAGATTGCACTCTTTTGCACCCAAGCAGCTTCTCACCAAAGGCCTGCCATGAAGCTAGTGCTGGCGATGCTTTCCAAAGCAGTTCATCTCAATGAGAAGTTATTAACAGAGCCAGGGGTGTATAGGCCTTATTATCCTCAGCAATCGGGTGGTAGTAGTAGTTTGCAGGAGACGTCATCCTCCCAGGCAAGAAAAGGCAAGCAATCGGTAAATCCTTTTGTAACTTCAACTCAGTCAGATAGTTCCCAGAGTATGACACAGATGCTTCCTAGATGATGCATTTATTTTTGTTGCGTAATTTCCATTACTTTCTCTGAAATGTCCACTTTGGAGGTCTAAATTACCTCTCTTTCCCCATTTTTCTTTCTAGAAGCATGTAAAACGACCTGTATTTTCTTTTCTTCTTTTCCAATCCTAAATTGCTATTCGGCTCACCATGTTTTCGCGGTTGCATTTGGCCACTTGTTGTCTCGTTGTTTACTGATTCGAGGGTTTTGAACAGATTTAATGCCTACAAGGTATACATTTCTTGGCCTTTTGGCTAAATCTAGCAGGATCCAGTCATTTTCTCTAAGGTCAAAACTATGTCATGAATTTTGGATTTTCTTGCTTTGAAATGGTAGTTAACATCTGATGGACCATCACCGACATTGCAGTCTGCAAGCGATAACAAGGTTGATAGTTGTGAACGACATGTGAAAGTGGTAGTAATATCTTGTTAACAAACGTGAGGTTGTTGATTTAAGTCTGACCGTCATATATAGCATGCAGAAAAGAGGTTTAGTTTAGGATGACTGTAAAATTTAAAAAGTACTTCTTAAATAAGTATAGGCGGTGGTGGTGGGTTGTTGGTAGTGGCGGTGGTGGATGGCGGCGATGGGGTGGCAACGGATGACGGTGATGGTGGGTGATGGAATGATAGTGGTAGTGATAATAAATATAAGAATGAAAAGTATTTTGTGGAGAAGTGATTTTAAGGAAATAAAGTTTTTTTTTTTTTTACTTTTACTTATTGAAGTGGTAAAATTGTATTTGACTTATTAGGAAGTAATTAAAATAAGTTGTTCTAAACATTTTTTTTTTTAAAAAGTGCTTATGGAAAATCATAATTAATAAAAATACTTTTAAAAATCATCCCAAATGCTCTCTTAACTTGGACAAGAATAGAGTGAACTCCAAACCTCCTGGATTAGAGGGAACCAGACTGGGTCGAGTAAACGATATACATTGTTGCCAGTCATCTTGTAGAAAATAACAGAACTGATACAACATCCTAGTAACCTGTTACAAGTCTAGAGCTCTGTCAACACGACTCATAAGATGCAAAGAAGGTTTATATTGCAGTAAAAGCTTCATTGTCACTCAGTAGATCAGAGCCAGATAAATGTTAGAAGAGGCCAATTTGAATGACATAATAATCATGAAAATAACCCCGCTCCGCCCGCCCCCCCCTTTTTTTTTTTTTTTTTTTTTTGGGGGGGGGGGGGTGTTGTGGTTCAGAGAAAGCTCAAAAAAAGCCAACACAATGAGGACAAAATTAACAGCATGCTATACAATGAAGCAGAGGAAAAGACATACAAGAGCAATAGAACTTACATTGATCCTACGAAATATAAGAGGCACAAGNCTATGTCATGAATTTTGGATTTTCTTGCTTTGAAATGGTAGTTAACATCTGATGGACCATCACCGACATTGAAGTTTGCAAGCGATAACAAGGTTGATGGTTGTGAACTACATTTGAAAGTGGTAGTAATATCTTGTTAACAAACGTGAGGTTGTTGATTTAAGTCTGACCNTTCTTATCTAGGGAATTCGTTAAAAGGCAAAGCATCGTGATACATATACAAGCTATATTATGACTATTACAAGTTGGTATTTCTGTATATGTATCGATTGAAACATTTTTGCAGACATGGAGGCTGAGAGAAGAGGAAAGGCTTCTTNTGCTAGTAACTAGCAAATAGAGCTTCAATGTGGGTCCACCGAACAGATTTTCTGGATATAAAAAGATCAATTCCTGCCACTCAGTTGATTCAGAATGAAGAAAACTATATATATAGGAACGCTAATGTCGCCCATAACGNATGGTGGGCGGTGGTGGTGGGTTGTGGGTAGTGGTGGTGGTGGATGGCGGCAATGGGGGTGGCAACGGATGATGGTGATGGTGGGTGATGGGATGATAGTGGTAGTGATAATAAATATAAGAATGAAAAGTATTTTATGGAGAAGTGATTTTAAGGAAATAAAGTTTTTTTTTTTTTACTTTTACTTAGTGAAGTGGTAAAATTGTATTTGACTTATTAGGAAGTAATTAAAATAAGTTGTTCTAAACATTTTTTTTTTTTTTAAAAGTGCTTATGGAAAATCATAATTAATAAAAATACTTTTAAAAATCATCCCAAATGCTCTCTTAACTTGGACAAGAATAGAGTGAACTCCAAACCTCCTGGATTAGAGGGAACCAAACTGGGTCGAGTAAACGATATACATTGTTGCCAGTCATCTTGTAGAAAATAACAGAACTGATACAACATCCTAGTAACCTGTTACAAGTCTAGAGCTCTGTCAACACGACTCATAAGATGCAAAGAAGGTTTATATTGCAGTAAAAGCTTCATTGTCACTCAGTAGATCAGAGCCAGATAAATGTTAGAAGAGGCCAATTTGAATGACATAATAATCATGAAAATAACCCCGCTCCGCCCGCCCCCCCCTTTTTTTTTTTTTTTTT